TAAGAGGGACACTTATTAAGTGAGCTTTGCCCCCCTTTTAGGACGCTTCTTGCCACGGTTGTTAAGGGAACGACTGCAGTCGTTAAGCGAGTTAACAGGGTTGTTCAATGAATCTAGCTCCCCCAGAATGGTCCCGCGACATTACAACTGTCATAAATACGAGTCGGTTGCCAAGCTTTATAGAGCCCTGATGGCGGAGCGGTTAGAATGCAGTATTGCAGGCTAATTCAGCTCACTGCTATCAGTTCGATCCTGACCGGTTCAAAGTTAACTCAGCCTTCCATCCTACGGAGGTCGGTAAAATGAGGACCCCGATTGTTGGGGGCAACTATACTGACTGTGTAAACCACATAGGGAGGGCTGTAAAGCACTGTGAAGCGGTATATAAGTCTAAGTGTAGGAAGGAAGGAAGGAAGGAAGGAAGGAAGGAAGGAAGGAAGGAAGGAAGGAAGGAAGGAAGGAAGGAAGGAAGGGCTGTGGTGGCACAGTGGTTAGAATGCAGTACTGCAGGCTAACTCAGCCCACTGCCAGGAGTTCGATCCTGACCGGCTCAAGGTTAACTCAGCCTTCCATCCTTCGGATGTCGGTAAAATGAGGACCCAGATTGTTGGGAGCAAATATGCTGACTCTGTAAACCGCTTACGGGAGGGCTGTAGAGCACTGTGAAGCAGGACATAAGTCTAAGTCTGGGTTAGGCAACTTTGGCTCTTTTATGACTCGTGGACTTCAACTCCCAGAATTCCTGAGCCAGCCATGCTGAAGAGAAAGGAAGAGGTTTCCAAGCTGAGCCACGCTGGCTGAGGAATTCTGGGAGTTGAAGTCCACGAGTCATGAAGGGGCCATAGTTCCCCCATGCTGGCTGAGGAATTCTGGGAGTTGAAGTCCACGAGTCATGAAGGGGCCATAGTTCCCCCATGCTGGCTGAGGAATTCTGGGAGTTGAAGTCCACGAGTCATGAAGGGGCCATAGTTCCCCCATGCTGGCTCAGGAATTCTGGGAGTTGAAGTCCACGAGTCATAAAAGAGCCGAGGTTGCCTCGGCCCTTGTCTAAGTTCTATTGCTGCCTGATTTTTTGCCATGTGAGCATGGGAATGCCACAACGGTCATAAAGTGTGAAAAATGGTCATAAGTCACTTTTTAGGGTCGTTGTAACTTTGAACGGTCACTAAACGAACTGTTGTTAGTTGAGGACTACCTATCCTTAGGTCTGTCATTTTTTAGCACTAACCTGGAAGCACAACAGGGGAAATGAGCACATTTGTCTCTGTTGCCAAAAGTTTCTCAATGTTCTCTTCCAGGTAATCATCGTGACCACATCGCCCAGCTCCACGTTTGTCCCCAACATCCTGTCAAAATCTCACAACTACGCAGCTGTCACCAAACTCGTCCCGACATCGGTGATAGCATCCACCACCCAGAAGCAGCCCATGGTCATAACGGCTTCACAGTCCTCTCTGGTTCACAACAGCACCGCCACCACCACTAGCTCCACCACCGGGAGCTGTTCCACGCCGTCTTCCACGCCCAGCACAGTTGCGGTGACCACCGTAGTGTCCTCAACACCCTCTGTGGTTATGTCATCCATTGCACAGGGTAAGAGGACGGCTGATTTGAGTAGGAATGGAAGGTCCTAGACCAGGGGTAAGCCACCTTGGCCCTTTTATGACTCGTGGACTTCAACTCCCAGAATTCCTCAGCCAGCATGGCTCAGCTTGGAATCCTCTCCCTTTCCCCTCAGCATGGCTGGCTCAAGAATTCTGGGAGTTGAAGTCCACGAGTCATGAAG